TTCCAAGCTCATTACTGAGAAGATGACACTAACAGGAATATCAGAGCCATGTAAACATATAACTGAGATCACACGGATATTAAAGCCTTGTTCACCAGTCTCACGTTAAGTGTTGAAGAGAGAGAACAATAATGTGTAGCAGGAGAAAGAACAAGAGACCCATTAATGCTCTTTCCGTCCATCTCGCCTCTTTCCGTAGATTTACTGACAGTCGGACTCCTAAGGGACAAGTTAAAGGAGGGAGGGAGAGTATACACAGTGGTCCCCCCCTCCATCACCCCCTTCCCTCCCTTCTCTCTCCCCTCTCGGCTCCTGGCAGATGCGAGGACACACAGAGCAACAGGTGTACAAGAAGACCTGTGACGTGAGGGTGTGAAGGACCGAGAGAGGATAAGGAACTGTGTTTAAGAGGAAGAAGTTGGTGATATTTAGACAGCTATTTAAAGAGGAAACAAACGCCATCTTTTTTTCACTGTTTCGACGGTATTTAAGATGAGGACTCAAAGTTTAAGTGATTTTGTAATTAACATATAATTTACGAGAAAACAAATATAAAAGTAGTTAATGAAAAGTAGAAGATTACTAAATTATATAAAGTGAAGTGATTTGGGCAGGTAGTTATTCGGTAATGAGTTTCCAGGTGACATTAAACATGGCGCTGGAGGTAAAGGTGTGGCTGTGGGTGATAAGGTAGGGTGCTGCGCCTTTCACTCCTCCCTGCACCTATAAGTTTATCCAGTTGATGACAAATTATCCTTTGCTAATATTGGTTCTGAGGCGGTAAATAAACTGACTTATAGGAAACATAAATTAGGGTCACGCATGAGAGATATCTATGATTTTATTTTTTCTTCAGACTTCCGCGCATCTTCCATCCAGGTACAGGAAGTAGAGACCTGAACATACCTGTACTAGATGAGTTCTTTATCAACCTAATTTAAATCCACTTGTAAAATTTAATTAAAGAGATGAACTGATCTTGAGGAGACTTATGATTTTAGTCAGATCTTTCCCAACCAAAGACGCTTTTATGAAAGAGTTGCACGAAAGCCAGAGGAGTGTGACGCAGTAAAACCTCCATTTAACGGACTATATGGAGAGAGAAATCCGTTATATGGAGGTTTCACTGTAGATTAGAGAAAAAAATATTAAAGTTAGATAAAATATATGTTGACACAGAGGTATCAACCGTACAGGAATGTCGTCAGTAAGTTGGATGTTGACCACGACACAACAAAGTATATTCAGGAAAAAGTCGTATTCATAAGCAACTATTACACACATATGGAAGTTTATAAACAAAATATTTCAGAAACTAAGTAAACCAGTTACTATGAAATTTAATGCACTAGGTATGACACCCTCTTAAAAAAAGTATTACAGTTGAACCATTGATACTGAAGAGAACAAACTTATCAGATGCTAATATGACAAACAATCCAACTATGATGACATTTCCCAGGTGAATCTGACGACAGGTGAGTGAGTTAACATACCCCTAACGAGCCCCTCACCTGAATGTCTGTCCCTGTTACTATCACTCTTCACCAGTTATCTTACACCTGATTTGCTGAGCTGTATTAGAGTAAGATCTCTTGTTTATTTCCCACACACAATAACAACAACAAAGAAATCCATACTTAGGAATTTTTGCAAACGAGGGATGACAACATTTTTATCTCCCCCTCCCCTTCCTCTTCCTCTCCCCTCTCTCCTCTCCTCTCTCTCCTCTCCCCTCTCTCTTACTCCCCCTTCCTCCACACTCTCCTCTTATGCTGTTTTTTCTCCCCCTTTCAGATTTTTCTTCTGTTCGTCTCTGTACACTATAACAATACCTTAACCGTTCTGCCATAACCCTAACTAATATTAATAACAATAACAGTAACACTACTACTACTACTACTACTACTACTACTACTACTACTACTACTACTACTAATAATAATAATAATAATAACCAAACGTCCAGGAGGAAGAACCAGAATTATTTATGTAATACGTCTAATGATCTCTCTCTCTCTCTCTCTCTCTCTCTCTCTCTCTCTCTCTCTCTCTCTCTCTCATACCAGTTTTGTGCCCTAAACTCCGCTCGTGTTTACACTGAAAGCAATGAAATGATTGAAATGGTAAAGAACTTAACGACTGTTCACTTTACTAATTGGAACAAGGCTGATGGAGAGGGGTGACTGAGGGGTGACTGAGGGGTGACTGACGGGTGACTGAGGGTGACTGAGAGTAGATATGGGGACTACAGCCTCGCCTTGAAGGGTGGTGAGTGTAATGGGGTGTGACGCGGTGGTAATTGTGGCAGCAGTGTGACAAGAGATTCAGTAATTGATGATGAGAGTTAGGAGGGAGACACACATTACCTCCCCTGCCACCATACATCTCCCCTGTCACCATACTTCTCCCCTGTCACCATACATCTCCCCTGTCACCATACATCTCCCCTGCCACCACATTACCTCCCCTCCATCACCATACATCCCCTCTCCCCTGCCACCATACATTCTCCCCTGTCACCATACATCTCCCCTGTCACCATACATCTCCCCTGCCACCATACATCTCCCCTGTCACCATACATCTCCCCTGCCACCATACATCTCCCCTGTCACCATACATCTCCCCTGCCACCATACATCTCCCCTGTCACCATACATCTCCCCTGCCACCATACATCTCCCCTGTCACCATACATCTCCCCTGTCACCATACATCACCCCTGCCACCATACACAACTACCTCGTCATATCACCAAAACACAACCTCCTTAATCTATCTTTTCATATTTCAACACACACACACACACACACACACACACACACACACACACACACACACACACACACACACACACACACACACACACACACACACACACACACACACACACACACACACACACACACACACACACACACACACACACACACACCACCTGTCCCCCCTTACCTGAAAAAAACTTGAACTTGGGTGTAAAAATTCTCTCGTGTGACGTGTTGTGAGGCTGGGGGGGCAGGGGGCAGGTGGGAGACTAAGAGTAGCTGGAGAGAGAGAGGGAAGGAGGAAGAGAGGGACTGGGATTGAGAGGGATGAAAAGTGGTTGGAGATGGAGGGAGAGGGGGTGAGTGGGATGGAGAAAGAAAGTGGGTGGGAAAGGAGGAAGACAGAAAGAGTGGATGGTGAGGGTGGGTATTGAAGGGGATGGAGAGTGGTTAGATAGGGGGTGAAGAGGGGATGAGGAGTGGGTGGGGAAGGAGAGTGAATGGGGAAAGAGAGAGGGTGGGGAGAGATGGATGGAGGGAGGTGTGAGACGGAGGAAAGTGTGAGAGGGAGAGAAGTGTGAGAGGGAGGGAAGTATGAGAGGTAGGAGGAGACCTGCATGGTGAGCTGACGAGAAAATAATGCTAAAATTTGATCATCTGACCACACCTGTATCCCTCGGCTCATTCATAGACGGAAAATAAATAAATAACAAAACAAATGAACTTTTCTATCATGCTCTTATTCCCTTCACTTCTTTCTTCCTCTCTGTCTGTCTGTCTGTCTGTCTGTCTGTCTGTCTGTCTGTCTCTCTTTGTGTATAGGTGACATAGAGGCAGATTAAGTAAGATGAGACAGACAGACAGACAGAGTAGACAGACAGACAGACAGACAGACAGACAGATAGACAGACAGACACAGGTCCTGGTGGGTGATAGGAGGCCGATCTGATCACAACTCATCACTCCAAAGGGATGGTCAGTTTGTGTGTAATTTTGACGTAGTTGAAACCTACGCGTGAATTTACCTGTAACACAAGACTGTACTTTGATACTGTATTCCTTTTATGTAATCTTCAATATCTCTGAGTCTCTGTACCTACACGTGTATCCGTTCCTGTATTTGCATTGCTGTATCATTGTCTGTAAAGTTAATGAAATGAAATATGAGAGAATGTAAGGGGAGGGGAAGTGAGGGAAGGGTCGGAGGTAACTAGAAACAAAGGCTTGGGAGAGGAGGAGGAGGAGGTGAGGCTCAGGGAAAAGAAAAATATCTGCAATTATGTTAAATTAGTTTTTCAGTTTGTGGTAATTGTACCTATGTGTGTGTGTGTGTGTGTGTGTGTGTGTGTGTGTGTGTGTGTGTGTGTGCAGGAAGGGCTAGGTAGAGGGAGGAGCAACACTCCATGGAGGTAGGCGGTCGCCTTTGACTACCTGAAAAGCGTCTCCCACCTGTCACTCCACACCCAACCGTCCTTCACACCCGCCTTGACATGCGCCCAAAACATGAAGCGTCTCTCATACTGCTGCTTACTGATCTTTTAGGGCTCCAGGGATCCTCCCGGGGCTCTTATGTCAAGTCTTTGAAGGTCTTACTCACATTTACTTCTCTCAGGGGGGAGAGGGAACCAAGTTATATGTAAATGCAATATGTTTAGGTTATAACAGCGTGAACTAAAACGATGGTAAGTAAAATTTCCTCACTAGTGATGCACTGGGAGACATTTTTATTGGTGTGTGTGTGTGTTAGGCGGCGTGAACACTAGATCCTCCTCATCTGTTTGTTTTTATCCACCGACAGTCACTCACTCAGATGGAAGTATTAAAGAGTTGATGTAAATGTTTATATAAGATGCCACCATGGTTTTCTTGGAGACTTTGAAACAATAATGTCACCTCCTGGGAGAAATGTACGTCTTTTGAAGTTTACTAATTGTGAAAAAACAACGCAAAACATAAACAGGTCAAATTGGTCCCATTACGGATATTTAAAGTATCTTGTGACGTAAAATACTTAAAGAAATGATCAATCAAGAGTAAAATATAGGTAGGTATACAGACCAGCATTTATGTAGACAATAAAGGTATACAATGTACATCGACCGTATAGCTGAACAAAAACAAAATAAACAAGAAAAAATAGACAAAATATATGCGCTAAGCTACAGCACGATCGACTTCCAAGACTGAGAAGATGTGGCTGTCCAAACACACACACTTTAAGTCAACACTCACCCTCTGACTCGGGGTCGTGGTGGTGTGGTGACGTGGGAGAGGAGTGGTCAGAGCCTGTTCCTTCATGGTTGGCGCCCACAACGCCCACACACGTGCCCACGATGAGATACACCATGAGGGAGCAGAGGAAAGCCCATGACAGCTGGTGATTCATGGTAATGGTGATGGCCAGCAAGTTACGAGAATCTGTAAGGAAGAAGAGGAAGGTGTGTAAGGTTAACAAGTCTTATGGTCGTTTTGGTTTGTATATTTTTTTGTGAAGTTTTATTCATTAACACTGTTCCTAGTGGACAAATGATAGTGTGGTAGTGAAGGAAACAAGACTATAAGATGGAATAAAGATCCATATCATAGTCGTGTCACCTTAACTACCGCACTTATTTTATTTAGGAGCCTCTTGTTGATGTGTGTTGGATAATGCTACTTAGTGTGAAACGGTCCAATAATATATATCATTATAATTCACACTCACTTATACTGTAACAGAGTCGTTGTCAATTGAGTTTCATGGGTTTAATATTTATCTCCACCAGACTAATGCAATATGACATCCCCTCTCCAGGATTCATTGTATCTACATGAGTTGTCAAATCTCTTTATATTTTTTACGTTAATCCTTTCACAGTGCACTTATCCGAACCTTCTGTACCTCACCTAAATTACAGATATAACCTAACGAAAGGTAATATAACGTAACGTAACCTAACCCAAACCTAAATTGCAAATATAACTTAACGTAACGTAACCTTGGCTTGGTGTTAGAAAGACAGATATACCGTACAGTCAACACCCACGAGGTCGGTAAACAATGAAGGGTAATATTAGCAGAACGGTGACAAAAATATACAGAAGTTGGGGAACAGGAAGGCGCAGCGGAGGAGATAGACGTCGTACTTCTACTGATAAAGACAAACTATTGATTCATGAGAAGAAGGAGCCGTGTATTGTCTTGCTCTGTCGCTTTGGGTTCATGATTCTGAATCTCGGGGTTCGTGGTTCAAGAGGAGAGGCGATCGGACTTTAGTAGTTGACTATATAGTACATAAGGGAACTACTGTATATCATAATTTGTCTCCAGGATCTTAAATATAGGTGGATGATATAGAGACATACAGAGTTATGACGAAATAAAATATTTTAAGAAATTCTAACCATCAGCTAATTGGGTTTTAGGGGAATTGAGTCGTTTTTTCACTCAAACAAAGATAATTATTCCAAGTGTTTATGTTGGAGGATCATAAATTCTCAACAAAATTCAGGTAAATATTTGATGTTGAAATTATCACTGAAATAGAGGTGACTAATGCCCTGTAGGACGCCTCTATGATACAATAGGTTTTGGGTGGTAGGTGAAAGGTTATTGGTGGCAGACTGGCAGTTGGTGGGTTGAAGGGAGTGGGTGGGTGTTGGGCAGCAGGTGGTGGGTGGTAGGTGGTGAATGGCAGGTGTTGGGCGGCAGGTGGTAGGCGGCAGGTGATGGGTGGCATGTAGTTGGTTGTGAATGATAGGTGGTGAGCGGTAGGTTATGGGTGGTGGGTGGCAGGTAGTAGGTTGTGAATGACAGGCGTTGGGCGACAGGTGTTGGGCGGCAGGGGGTGGGTGGCAAGTAGTAAGTTGTGGAAGGCTCTTCTGTCGTACTTGTCTCTCTCTCTCGAATCCTGTTTCCGTTCTTTAATGAAACTTTTTGTCCATAAGTTGTTTACAAGAGACCTATATATAGCTATAGTTCACGTAGTTGTGTGTATGGTGACGTGATCTATTGTATATAGCTGTCTGTACTGTATAGTTCACGTAGTTGTGTGTATGGTGACGTGATCTATTGTATATAGCTGTCTGTACTGTATAGTTCACGTAGTTGTGTGTATGGTGACGAGATCTATATAGTTGTCTGTAGAGTTCACGTAGTTGTGTGTATGGTGACCTGATCTATATAGCTGTCTATAGTTCACGTAGTTATATGGTAAGTAAATAGTGGTTGGAGTATGACCTGGACATTTATCGACTGGACAACACACATCCCCTAAAGGTGTACTCTGGTTTTCTATAGGCGAGAGAGAGAGAGAGAGAGAAAGAGCATTGTGGTGTGTGTGTGTGTGTATACGTGCGGCAGGAAGTGACGTCAGAGAACACACGACAACACAGTAAAATGACTCATCGTATAGTCCTCGGTGATCAGACTGAACCGCTGGAACGAACCCTGCGAGTCCTCTAGTACACGAGTTAAACAACACGGATCCTAGTACAATTTGCCAGGACTGTGCCAGCAAGTGGAGCTGATCATGCCTGACGACTTTATACACAAATCACTAACACGATTTAATTATAATAAAAGCATATTATTAAGAGTCCAATACTGTAGAAAATAATATTTGGTTACTATACTCCCTTATCGTGAATGTATAGATAAATGTTACCACGCAAGTTTGTGCATTATATAGGATAGTGATGGGCAGCCCAGTTAGTTGGTGGGCCACATAAGTGACCTTTTATCATCTCAGTGGGCCACATAGATGACCCTCCATCATCTCAGTGGGCCACACGGGTTCTAGATCAACGAATTAGGTATTTGTTAAATTCAAAGAGAGAGATACAATCGAGTATGCTCACAGTAATGGGACAGTTTCAGTCAGTCCCATGAAGTTCCAACACCTGCTTTGAGAGGTCTTATGATCAGCGTCATGAAGCGCGACGGTCAGTTTATTTGCCGCGTTAACAGTGTCACAGAGAAATGTTAAAAAGCATCACATTAAAATGTTATAAAGTATCACATTAAAGTGTTATAAAGTGTCACATTAAAGTGTTATAAAGTGTCGGATTAAAGTGTTATAAAGTGTCACAGAGAAGTGGGTAAAGGTGGAGGAGATCGCTAACACCAGAAATAACATAAGCAATTGAGCCACAGTTTCTGGAGATACTAATTGTATTATACTGAACACAAAAAATTAAGGCGAGATTCACAGAAACTATTAGAACGATTTTAATCCAATAAATCGTAATAAACGCCCGATAAGATCGTCGTTGGTTTATTTACAAAGATTGCCAACGATCCCGCATAGGGTTGCCAACTTAGCGTTTTTCGCGCTAACTCTAGAGTTTTTTGGTCTCATCTAGCGCCAATTTTTTTTTCATTTTGCGCCATAGCGCAAATTTAGCCCTTTTTCATTGGAAGGTGATTTTCGGTGCTATTTACTGCAACGTAACACAAGTTTAATCCAGTGGAAAAAAATGCATCACACAAAGGGGACTGAGGCTGCTAACACATTGCATTTTTTGGCTGAAGTAGCTAATTACAGAGACTCTTCAGGTGAAAATCCCTACAAAGAGTTATTAGAAGTTGCCCTATCTGCCCTCACCTTGCCACATTCAAATGCCGATGTAGAGCGTTCCTTCAGCCACATGAACCTAATTAAGTCCAAGCTTCACAATAGAATGAAAATCTCAACACTGAATGCAATAATATCTGTGAAGTATGACTTAAAAAGAAATGGAAAGTATTGTGCTTCCTATGAATTACCTATTGATGTTGTCAAGAAAACTGGCACCATGGAAGCATACTGCAGCTCTTCAGCAACACAGGGTCAACTTGTTCAAGACCAAGCTACCTGCAGTACCACTGATATGGAAGAAGACTGGGATACTTTTGAGCTGATGTAATCGTGGTGAGTAGTTCTTTAGCGTCGTACGAAGATCATTTGAACTTTTCTCGTGTTGAATAATTCGTTTTAAGACTATATGATATCAAACCCCGGTTAGATACCTTGAGAATTCTGCAAATTTTAAATCTAGCGCTCTTATAGCGCTTTTTGCGTGTCAGTTTACCGCCTTACGGAAATCTGATTTGTCATGTCTCGCATAGCAGACGACATGAACCAAAACATGGTCGCTAAGGGAGAGCCAACGGCACCACAATTACGGTAAATATCTTGGGTAATCCTGGAGCAGATGGCTAACACTAGAATGTGTTGTTCGATTTTGTTCTTTTTTTCACAGATGTTTTTTGGAAGATAGTAAGTAGTAAAAGCAATCCGACAATTAACAGAACATAATAGAACCTGACATAACCAACCAAAGAAACCTACCTAACATATTAAACAGAAAGTACATACTTCGATATCTGGTACCAAGGAGAGCAGCTTTTTTTTTTAAGCGTTTTGGTGTAATTTTAGGTTTATTGTTTTATTTTTATATTTTTTTTTGTGGCCATGAGAGTACGCTCGGAACGAGTGACTGTTATTGCACCTAAACAAACCAAGAGTGGACGACAGTATACGTTATTTACACACAGATTTTTCGAAGGAATATTTAGGGCAAATAATAAATTTCTTCGCGTACAAAGTACGTAGAGACATCATCTTTGTGTCATAGGATCAGTTTCTCACCGAGTTAATTTACCCAGCAATTTCTTTCATCCTTTACACCATGCTTACTGCAGAAAAAATGAACGAACTCGAACAACTCCTCCTGGTGTTAGCCATATGCTCCAGCACTACCCAGTTTTATTTATTCGCCTGCAAAGGACAGAGCGCCGTGAAATTACTGCCATATGATCAGTGTTCGCAGTGTTATTAAGCAATATACTACAATATAGTCGCCTCGATTTTATTACTCAGTTCTCCTGGTGCTAGCGGCCTCTTACCACTTTCACTGGGAAGTGTTATAAAGTATCACAGTGAAGTGTTGTAAATAGTCACAGTGAAGTGTAATAAAGTGTCACAGTGAAGTGTTGTAAAGAGTCACAGTGAAGTGTAATAAAGTGTCACAGTGAAGTGTTATAAATGACACAGTGAAGTGTAATAAAGTGTCACAGTGATGTGTTATAAAGTGTCTCAGTGAAGTGTTATATTGAAGTGTTATAAAGTGTCATAGTGAAGTGTTATTAAGTGTCACAGTGAAGTGTTATAAAGTGCCACAGTGAAGTGTTATAAAGTGCCACAGTGAAGTGTTATAAAGTGTCACAGTGAAGTGTTATAAAAGCCACAGTGAAGTGTTATAAAGTGTCACAGTGAAGTGTTATATTGAAGTGTTATAAAGTGTCACAGTGAAGTGTTATAAAGTGTCACAGTGAAGTGTTATAAAGTGCCACAGTGAAGTGTTATAAAGTGTCACAGTGAAGTGTTATAAAAGCCACAGTGAAGTGTTATAAAGTGGAGCAGTGAAGTGTTATATTGAAGTGTTATAAAGTGTCA